CACTTCGTTCCCTCTACAAAGATCTGGAGACTTTCTGTTCATTAGACACTATGACCGATTTGCTGATGGTAATAATGAGTGGTCATTGCAAATGGCGTCATAATGCCGCATTGTGTCTGCTCATTTATCATAATTAAACAAATAAAGTTTTGATGAAATTACAGTAATTCCATTACTGTCTACAGTCTCTTACAGCTAAGAGTTGCTGCTTCTCCAACTTTAACATCGCCTTTTCAATTGTTTCCTGCTTGAGAACCTGAAGTTGCTCAAAGAGTTTGTCTTGATGCCTTCACACGCCAGGCAATTAAATTAATTACGTGTCATGACATATTAATATGTAGAATAAATGCAGATTAATTGCCTGACACCTCCTGCAATAGATAATATATGGGCGGGTGATTCTTAATTGCACGCATTTCACATAAGGATTGTGTCCTACTCCTAAATTTGTATGAGTGCAAAACATGGTCTCTCACGCTGAGGGAGGAACACAGATTGCAGGCGTTTGAGGAGGATATTTGGGCCTAAGAGAGAAGACAAATACCTGGGAACAAAACTGCATAATGATGAGCTTAAAAATCTGTACTCCCCCCTAATATTTTCAAAGTGATTAAGTCGAGAAGAATGAGATGGGTGGAACATGTAGCTCGCATGGATGGGACAAGAGGTGTGCACCGGATATTGGTTGGGAAGCCTAAGGGGAAGAGACAGCTGGGGAGACCTAGACATAGATGGGAGGATAATTTCAGGGGGAATCTATGGGAGATAGGAGTCGAAGGAGACTGGATTTTGTTGGCCCAGGAAAGGGTCCGGTGGAGGGCTTTAGTTAATTCGGTGATGAACCTTAGGGTTCCGTAAGCCATCTAGTTAGTTAGTTAGTTAGTCCCCCTCCACACCCCGCATCGAATAACACTGTTGCAGCAATCAGAAGTATTAGCATTTGAGTCATGCCTCATGGCTCGAAGTGGCCTATCTCCCCTCTCGACGTTCTTTGGAGCCTCTGGCTTCGAGGCCCTGATGGGACAGCAGGGCAGGACAGTTTGTGTGTGTCTGTCCTGAGGGAAACGACTCGAGCTGTTTGGGGAGTCTAGTTTTATACGTGTTTACTCACATACCCAACCGAGCACTCAGCCCTGGGAGACTTGACCTAATTGTGTCTCTTGGTTTTCTTTATTTCTATATTTATATAATTTTTATTAAATATTCTTTGTTGCCCAAACGGGGGTGCATTTATTTGGTGTTTTGGCTTAACCGCTGTCGCCATTCCTACAATCGTACCACCTCCCGGCCTGGGATAGTTCGGTTTCAGTGACGAGTTCCGGCAGTCCCCAAACGGGGGTTCACATTACATCTGTCTTCTCATTAATGAATAAGAATACACTTAAGCAGCCATTTTAGGGTTTTGAGACAACCAAGTCGTAAGCCACGTAGATGACGCGTGAAGGCTTAAAGTGAACGACGATTTCATCGCCTCAAATTCTCTCGGTCTTTAAACAAACTCCGCGTCGGTGATGCTGAAATCGAGAAATGTCAAGGTCAGTCGAGTGTGAAGTCGATTATCTTCTGCGATTTTGCGCTGTGGTAGACGATTGCTGACGTTTCAGGGGATGACATGATGATGGAGCCAGCAGATATCTCTCAAACGTCGATAAACGTCTGTCAGACTCCACTGCGCAACATCCAAGAAGACAGTCAATTTCCTACACATCGTGTTTCATATTCAAATAAAAAGTAATTCGGTTTTGGGGTTGGAGACTGATCGTCTCTGTTGAGGTCTTCCTCAGTTGCTGCTTCAGATGATGGGGTAATATTTAACGAACCTTTATCGACTCCAGTGCACCGATGAGGAATATGGATGTGTTGATGCAGTGTGACTTGCAATAGAAATGGCTTGAAAGAAAATAGTCGTGGCCTATTTTAGGGTATTTCCTCAGAACGTGAATAGCTGGTCTTAGGGACAATTTGCATACAGCCGTGGCGACTAAATAGGGCAGAGTATTTGTGAGAATGTGAAAGGTGTTTGTACTCAGATGCATAGAACAAAGGCAACTAAATCGTGGCCACCCCTGAACGTCCAATACGCATTAGGCTGTGAGTGAGTGAGGAAAACTCAGGGGCTCTGTGGGAGAGACACTTATGATATGACCCGCGGTCCAGACAGTGAGTTAAAGTTGACACCCCTGGGGCTGATGGTGAAGTACTTGTACATGCACGTGTGAGTGGGGTAATTGTTTCTTTACCTCATTAAGAATATAGATTTGATTGAATGGTTTAACTTGTGAAAAGAATTTAAAATAATTAGTAACGTTATATCTACATCAGTGGCGACTCGTGAGTCTGGGCTAAGGCAAGCACCAATTTACGCATAAATTCTCCGTAAAGATATCGGCACCTAGTTGCACGAAGAATATATTTGCCGGTCGTCTTTGTCACTTAGCACAGCAAGCCACAAAAAACTTTAAATTTCGTCGTATACCTGCACACGGCTATAACAATGAGCACTGGGTTTTCCTAGAACTTCCCCGTCCTTCCTACCAGGTCGAAGACATACAAGGGGACAACCGAAACATAGGACGAGGCGGAACGCTATAATAACCAACTACGTAAGCGACACGTGGAGTTGGAGGCTGCCCACGACTTGAGGAACAGCACAAGGTCAGTGACCGAGAAGCAGCGAGACTGTGAGGGGTTGAGTGAAAGTGAAATTCACGAACTACCTGCCGCCCAACCAATGTTTTCCGATAGCTCAACTGAGGATAATTCAGGGAGGAAATAAATATAAGGTCAGGAAAGCAAGAAAACGGGGCAGAAAGGAAAAGAGACAAACAGGACAGATTAGAAAACGAAAGAAAAACTGAGGAAATTAGGAAACAGGAGAAGGAGGAAAGGGAAGAACTCAAAAGAGTTGAAAACAGGATGAGTAGAATAGAGAGCAGGAGAGGAAGGAAGATAGAGAAAGACTAGATAAATTGGAAAATGACATTACCCAAATTTCAGAGAAGTTATCAGAACATTTTAAACGAACGAGCTCTTGCAAGGATGGACAAGGAGTGCGGCAAATTATCCGAATCCGTGAAAGCCCTTCGACGAGATACCCAGCAACAAATTGAGGGTGTGAATGAGAGGATTTTTCAGGTAACCGAATTTGTAAATGATGAGATTGACCAATTGAATGAATGTTATGTGCAATTTTTGGCCGAATTAGACGATTACTACCGCTTGAAACGCGTGCCTGAAACGCTTAAATTGCCTATAGCGATGAAAGGAATCTGCGATTCGTATTCGAAGCAGTGGTTCACTGCAGTGTACGAAGATTTGACTAATTATGACCAGTTCAAGAGAGCGTTCACTGAGTTGTTGTGGGGCCTTCAAATTCAATCACAAGTTATTAGCCAGTTGAATCAGGATCGTTTCGACAGAAATTCGAATGAAAGAATGTCGTCACACTTCTTAAAGTATTCGGTATTGGCCGTCAATTTATCGCCTAAGTTGTCCGAGCTGGAATTAGTCGACGGAGTAGTGGGGCACTTCCCGCTTTGTGTCCGAAGGGCTCTTTTGTCGGCTGGTGTACGAACGATACAAGATGGGTTGACCCTAAATAAGTTAGAAACAACGGAGCAGACAGATTCAAGTAGAGGGGGGCAGAACCCAGGTCCACCTCAGAACAGGCCCAACCAAGGTCATTCATCTGGTCAGAACCGATATGATGGTGGCAGAGCAAACGTAACAACCATTACGTGAGGGGTGTACATTTTCCGACCAACCAGTGTTTCCGAGGAGACGAGAACTACGAGCGCCGTGAACCATGTTTTTCACGCCGGGGAGCAAGTGCGTACGTGCATGGGCCTAGCCAAGGACAGCGAGGTGAACCGAGTTTGAATCCACGAGCTCCCGCCTTTGGCCCTAGTGCTGAATCAAGGCAGGGCGGGGTTAGGGACGCCAACAGGAACAATTCGGAAAACGAGGGTAGGACGCACTAGGGCAAAAAGTCGCTTGATGTGCCTCGACAAGTCGCAGTGCGTTCCGCAACAAATATCATGTGCCCGCTTATCGGTTGAGAGGAGGCAACACGAAGGAACATCAAAGAACATCAAAGAACGTCTCGAGTGTTGCAATAGCTTGCGTGCAGTGTGGACGTGTCACGGGACCAGCAACGAATGTACAGTGGTCGAACGATCGTGTTTTAAAACTGATTGAATTATACCATGGAAATCAATGTCTATGGAACGGGCAACATGCCGATTATAAAAATCGGAATAAAAAGACAGATGCTCGGAACAGCATCGCGGAAGAAATGGGAACACCACGAAACATCATCAAAGCGAAAATGCACAACATTCGATAACAGTTTATGCGCGAAAGAAAGAAGATTCAAAATTCTATGAAGAGTGGTGCAGGAGCTGATGAAGTGTATGTTCCAGCTTGATTTGCCTACCAACATTTATTTTTATTATTGATGTTCAGGTGGAATAAATAAAGTGAGTACAATTTAATTATTTTATTGCAAATTTTAAATTAGATATCTGCACTGTGTTATTGTGAAATTCCGTAGTTTGCTTACACCAGTGTACTTACATCATAATATATAATCATACACATTACATTATATCATACATCATACAAAAGTATGCCAAGGTACACTACCTAAGGGACTCAAAAAATAATCAGCAAACTACTTTCTAGCTTCTGCAGCGGCTACAGTAGATCTTCTCGCTACCCTATCCAGGTCCCGGATTCCCCGAAAATTTTGTATTTCGCGCCACCAGGAACCTTGAGTAGCGGAGTTAGAATTCACATCTTCAGTATCCATATTTTGACTCTTGATTCTTTCTCACGTCTAAGGAAATTATGCACATATAAACAAGTCATTACAAGCCTTGTCGGGATGAAACAGTATAGGTTTTTGAAAAATACGAAATACTGAGCAAATAATTCCAAAAACATTTTCAACCAATCTTCGTGCTCTTGATAACCTATAATTGTAAACTCTTGTAATACTGCCTTGTTCATGTGTTCCGGCAAATGGCTTCATTATATTTTCAGTTAATGGAAACGCCACAAGCACATATGGTAATACATATTGTTCATTTATTATTGGCTCTGGCCCTGGTATAGAAAGCTGTCCATTTTGTAACTTGTGGCAAAATGTTGTATTTTGAAAAACACCACCATCGGAAACTCTTCCTTTATCACCACAATTTGCGTAAAGTACTCTGTAGTCAGCGTCCAAAATAGCCATCAAAACAATACTAAATAGACCTTTATAATTGTAGTACATGCTTCCACTGTTGTGTGGCGCTTGAATTAATATGTTTCCCATCTATCGCACCTACGCACCTGGTCGTGTGCTAACTCTCGCCAACCTTCCTCTGTTTCAGGTAACTGAAAAATAAGGTAAATACATGACAAAATTTTTATTCTAGGTTGCTGATGGGGACGATGACGATGAAGCTATACCCCTACAGAATGATGTAGAAGAAAGTGAAAATATGTCGTCCAGTCAAACCACCGCCCAGAAAAAAAAAACGGAAGATACAAACCGAGATGAGAAATTATCAAAAGCATATGAGATAATGGCGTCGTTGCATGATAAATATCGTGACAGAGATGGATTTACGATTTATGGTGAATATGTTGCAGCAGAATTACGAAAAATCAAAGATGAGGAAGTCGTAGCTGTGGTAAAATAACATATAAATAATACGTTACTTCAAGGTCTAATGAGGAAATTTAATCGAACACCAAATTATGGATACTTTAACCAGTCAGCATACGATTCAAGCAATTCATCGCAGTCATACTGTTCAAACATAGGAACACCACAATCAAGTCAACTTTTGCAGCAAAATCAGGAAAACACCACTAACGATTTAGACGCACTGAAATATATGATAACACATAATTTTTCTGTTCAGACTTTGTTTAAAACATAATTATGTGCAATTTAACTGCATTTATTTTTTTATTAACATAAGTAGTAATATTATTAGCTGCAATTATTTAATTAAGTATGTATACCGGAATCCATAGGATCATTTTGCTTTAATGTGTCCTGTATTGCAATAATTATTGTGAATAATTACACCACCACTAGTGAATATTTCTGAGGAAATGTTTGGTTCAATATGTTTAAAATTCATGTTATTGTTAAATAATGTTACACAGTGAATAATAAAAAGAAATAATAGCACCTTTCCTGTAAAAGTACTTTACACCGAACTTATTACAATGTAATATTTATTTCTTTAAAAAAACGAAAACGTTCAGTCAGAAAACGTAAGGATGTAAATATTGCAACCCTGTAGGCTCTGTTTTGTGTTTAGTGCAAGTCAACCTGTCATGCGGCACCATTGGTCTCAATGTGCGACACAGGTCGCTTTGCCCTCCACTGATCCAAAAGACACTGATTCAACTAATAGTAATAATTAGGCCTAAAAATAACTCACCTTTATATAATCAGAGAGTGCTTCATTCAAACATCGGCACACTTCTGGCACTATTTCACTGATGAGTTGCTTCGAGACTTTAAATGTATACATCAGAGATGTATAGGGATCCCCAGAAGCCAAAAATCTCAAGGTTATGATTAATCTTGTCTCTGGTTTCACTGAATCTCGAAATTTTGTGTTAGTCTTCGCAATTGAACTCCCAACCATTTGCAACAGTACCTCGAAATCAGTTGTCGTCATTCTGGTGAAGTTGCAAAATGATCCATCTGACATCTGCAGGTTTGAGAGTACAATAAAAACTTTCTTACCCACACTCTCGTTTCGCGCTTCGATTTCTTTTCAGCTAAATGCACAGGTCAACAACTTCCGACATCTTAACATACAATGTGGACGGATGCGTCGGTGTCTCATGTCCCCTGATACAAGTGGCTCAACTTCTATCGCACGGCATTGTCCGAACGTGAGGGTGGAAACCCAGGTCCAGTGCTGAGTCAGAGGCTAGAAAGCGAGAGAGAGGTAGTGCCTGGCGATAATCACAGATGTGCAGATTGTGATGAAAGTTTTGTTGAAGACCCTGCAAATGTTACTGCGTATTTCATAAATGACGTGAACCTTCCCGGGTGTCCACATGTGGAGTTGGCAATTGGAGATAAAGAAATTATAGCATTAATTGACAGTGGAGCAGAGGTCAGTGTAATGTCCGAGGAATTGTTTAATTGATTTTTGGAAAGGGGACTAAAGTTTCTTTACATTCCAGTTACAAATTGTGTGTTTTCCTCTGCGTGGCTCTCGAAGTCTGAGAAAATTAAGAAGCAAGCTTGGATCGAATTCAAATTAGGAGATGATCAGTTCGAATTATATTTTATGGTAGCACCGCAGGTAGCGACGGACGCCATCTTGGGTGCAGACTTCCTGAGCGAGTTTAACGTCGTTTTGGACTTTCAAATTGTAGTTTCGTGACGAGACACGGAGATTTGGCGAAGAGACACCGCTTCTCTTACGGAGGGATGGCAGGGGGAGGACATGACAGCAGACCTACATCGAACCCAGATTGTCTAGACCTGTTTAATCCAGGCGTTGATATAAAGAGTATCAATGTACCGAATCCTGAATTTCCGTGATGCCGAGTGGACCTGAGCTACGACGACGTAAGAGTAAACAAAGAAGTATGTGGTGGGCAGGGGGAGAGAGCCCCTTTTATCGATGAAGCTTTCCGCGACGATGTTTGTATTAAGAATTATAGGGTAGTGTACCCTGACGTATTGTTGTTATAGGAATTTTGGAGATCCCGGGGATGGATCGCATGCTGTAGCCCAGCATCGCAATGCTAGTGAGTAGTTCGGCGCTTCAGAAATACAGTCACGATTCGCATCCTGAAATTAGCGATGCAAGGTCTGTTTCCTTCCAGGAAAATGCAAACTCATGCAGTATAGATTCGAAGTCACGAACCCAGAACCTAAAGTGGGAAACAGTCGGTCAGAGCAGAATGATGCACAAGGATGGAATACTGGAGTTGTCACATTCTAGCTATCTAAATATTTTAACTATTGTTTTACGCGAAGGAAAGGCACCACGTATTTGCGTAGACGCCAGGCGCATTAACAAATGGATGACGCCAGACAGGACTCGAGTACAGCGCTTCCACGGATCGCGTTACATTAGCACGATTGATCTCTCATCAGCCTTTCTACAAGTAGAACTGGCACCAGTGTCGCGGAAGTATACCGCCTTCCTGTTTGAATTTGAAGTGTACGAATTCTGCAGAACCCCGTACGGATTCAAGAACTTACTCGCCGCCTTTATTAGAGCATTGAATTTAACCCTCGGCTCTGGAACCTGTGAGTATGCCCTTTGTTATGTCAATGACGTAACGATACATTAACCAACCTTCGAATCGCATCTCGAGCACCTCGATACTGTGATTGGTAGATTAACCGCAGCTGGATTTGCTATAAACGCAGGAAAGTGCAATTTCTGTAGAATGGAGATTTCTTTTCTTGGCCACGTAATTAGTAACGGCGAAGTAGCTCCTGATCCGCGGCGGATTAAAGCTATCTTAAGCTACCCAGCACCTAGAAATCAGAAGCAGTTACGCAAATTCTTACGTGTCTGTAACTGTCACCACAGATTCATAGTAAATTACGCAAGCTACGTAGCCCCATTGCTGCAGTTCCTTAAGAAAGGAGTTGGAAGGCGTTTGGGGTGCTCCGAGCTAAATTCGCGGACAGCGTACAGTTAGTGCACTCAGACGATAGTTTGCCATATTCAATACACACGGACGCGAGCATTAAAGCCATAGGTGCAGTGTTGATGCAGACCAACAGGCAGGGGGAGACGCACATAATATTCACGGAATCGAGCGTTAAGCCGGACCGAGCAACGTTTTTCGGTGGCAGAACATGGGCTATTGGCAATAGACTAAGCCCTGGAGAAGTTTAGGATTTACTTATACGGTCACGAAGTCCACTTGTGTACTGACAACAAGGCGTTGACGTTCCTGAGCAGATGTGCTTTAACCTCTAGCAGGATCGCTAGGTGGGTAATGCAATTGCAGGATTACGATTTGCATATTAGGCAAGGGACCCTAAGATACAAAAGACAGTAGAAAAGGTGAGACTTCACCCGAGCGGTCGGACGGGAGGTACCTGTTTCGATAATGAGAACTACCCTTACCGGAGACCAGTCTTGCCAACCGAACTAGAAACCCAAGTGATAAGATTCGTACAAATGTGTTTCGGGCATTTAGGAACAGAAAAATGCATGGCCCAAATTGCCAACACTTTTCATGTAAAAAGTCGAAGCAGGAAGGTCCGGAGGCTGATATCCCGCTGCGATGTGTGTCAGAGGGTCAAACACCCCAACCGCAGCTACGCGATCATGTTGATCATGTCGAAAACTCACCTGAAATTTTGCTCGTCTAAAGCAGTGGTATTCAAACTTTTTTTGTTCGCGTATCCCCAGATACAATTTCTCTTCAACTTTGTACACCCAAAGTTGTTGGTGTATAATTCAAGTTATACATAGTATATAATGTACTTCTAAAATATATTAAATAAATTAAATTACTAATTATTCAGTGTTTATCATAAAGTAATATATATATTTAAATTTCACGTACCCCCTAAGATGTCTTCGCGTACCCCCGGGGGTGCGATTACCCCAGGTTGAATACCACTGGTCTAGAAACTAGAAGCTTAACTAACAATTGTTGTTTGCTCATAGTAGAGGAGGTGATTTCGGGACATTGTGATTACCAGATCTTGCAATGCAATGTGGAACGCTGTCAACGTTTTGCGACTTGCAATGCAAGTCTATGAAGGACGCAATATTACAGCCAGGCCACACAACACGTTTGAAGAGCAGCAGATGAGTGACCTTGTGCAGATGTTGGACAATCAAGATTTCTGTCCAGATCATTTCATCGAAACCACTGACACGCTGGACATTTTAGACAATAAACATGAAGGAACTGATCAATCTGATTAGCCATTTGATAGCGATGTACCAGTCAGTTGGTCATCAAGCGATGACGAGCAGTGCATAATTTTGTACATTATTTTTTCGTACGCATTCTGAGAGCTCTGCTTGATTCCTAATATAAAACACACTGGAGAAATACCCATCAAAATAACAACAATAACCTTTTGAAACCCATTCCCATGCATTGCACATTACACCCCAGCCTCAATGAAATTTTCTAAACTTAATTCAACCAGTTTTCCCTTCCCCGTCGCAAAAAGAAAAACCCCGGTTCCAGTAACAAAGATTGAACACAAATTCAAGCGCAGTTCTTGTGCAGTTGAACTGATCAATCTGATTAGCCATTTGATAGCGATGTACCAGTCAGTTGGTCATCAAGCGATGACGAGCAGTGCATAATTTTGTACATTATTTTTTCGTACGCATTCTGAGAGCTCTGCTTGATTCCTAATATAAAACACACTGGAGAAATACCCATCAAAATAACACCAATAATCTTTTGAAACCCATTCCCATGCATTGCACATTACACCCCAGCCTCAATGAAATTTTCTAAACTTAATTCAACTAATTGAATAAAGATTTCCTTGGATATTATCCATCGTCTAGTAAATATAAACCGTTTCACGTTTTACGTTTTATATTTACTAGACTCATCCAAATAACAACAATAATCTTTTGAAACCCATTCCCATGCATTGCACATTACACCCCAGCCTCAATGAAATTTTCTAAACTTATTCAACCAATTTTCCCTTCCCCGTCGCAAAAAGAAAAACCCCGGTTCCGGTAACAAAGATTGAACTCAAATTCAAGCGCAGTTCTTGTGCAGTTAAAACTGTATCTGCAATTTCGTAGCTCAGTGAAGTGTTTGTAGCCGGAAATGTTTGAAGGAAGTTAGTTTAAATACTTGAATTTCTACAAAGAACAAAGGACTGGCTGCTCAGCCTGGTGGGAATTTCAGTGGAGGTGTTTTGGTTCCCACCACACCCACGCCACGTCACTAACGGCCAATTAGTGGTCAAGATCAGTGTCGCTGTATATTATTAAAGTTTCAATAAAGTTTTAGAAGTTGGTTTTAAAAAAATTGTGTCACGTTGAATGCATCCCAGTATCCTTGAGAGGACCTCATATTTCTGCTGACCGAATGCTAGCTGATAAAAGAGCACCAGTGGAGTTCAAAAGAAAGAATAACTAAACACTTCCACTGCATTCCAACGATGGGTTCATGTCCCTTCTCCCGCCTCCCTGACCACAAGCTAATCCACCAGACAGAAGGCATTCATCAGTCAGTAATTCAAAACTGTAACTGTAACTGTAAACGTTTTCCTGAAAAGTATCGAAGCTTAAGTGCACGAACCTGCCCAAGTTCCAGGATAAAGGAGTGTCCGATACATTTTGGTGCTTTTGGATGAGTTTTCGAAATTTGTAAAATTATACCCTTTGCGGTCAGCAACCACGAGGGCCTGCCTGAATAAATTGACAGGGCATTACATGACTCAGGTTATAAAACCTCAGAGCGTGTTGAGTGACAATGGGACTCAATTTTCAAGCCCGACTTGGCGCAAGAGGTTAGCAGAGTTAGGCATTGATGTCAGATTTTCACCTGTTCGACACCCGCACGCAAACCACAGGTAGCGTTGTATGAAGGAAATGGGAAAGTTCTGTCGCATCTACTGCCACCAAAACCACAAAAAATGGCCGGAGTTTCTGAGTAAAATTGAAGATTGGTTAAACGGCTCGGTATCAGACTCCACACAGAGCTTATGCGCGATAAGCCGATGCCTGACTTATTTAAGAAATTCCTGATAAAAGAAACCGATCAAATGCCGCCGTGTGAGAGTTTGCAGGAGAAGGCCCTGAAGGCTTACGTCAGGCTGTGCGCAGGAACAGAACGCGCAAGTTATGTAAGACCGAATGGGTGCGACTTGACAAGTTCACGAGAGAGGCTGATCAGGAAATTGTATTTATTGTTTCAACATGTTAGTTGTATTTGTGGGCGTAATTGTGTGGTATGAGTAGTGAGAGTAACCAAAAATGTTCTAAGTCTGTAATTATCAGGTCCGTGCCGAAAACCCAACTCCCTTGCTACCTGTTGACGCGAGAGTGACACACCTCCATAAAAACCCGTTACTTCCCACATTCCATTTCCCTTTCTGACCATTCTTGTTCCAGGTGCACCAACGTACCTCTGGCTTGTGGTAAGGATTACACATTCTGCCACCTCAGTGGAAATTCCACTGCGGTTCCTATTGTCAAAAGCTTGTCCCTTGCCAGACGCCAGTCCTCATAGAACACACCCGGATTTACAACCTAAAGGCCATTTCGTGTTCATCTCAGGTAGCCTGTCCGGAATTGAACTCAGAACAGGCTGTCACACCTGTAATGTGCTCAACGTATATGTACCTGGAGTAACGAATCACGTCCGACACACAAAGTTTCTTAAATAGGTTCATATACTTACGCGAGGACATCGTCTTCATAACCTTATCGTTCTCGGGGTCCCAGGATCCCAACGAACCAAGAACGATTGCATCAACTTTAACATCTTCAACTCGCCCACTCAGGGCCCTCGCTAGATCCTGATATTTCTCTATTTTCCTGGTCCTAGCCTCCTTGATGGCTTCCATCCTGTTCTCGAACGGGATTGTGATGTCAATGATCATTGCCTTATTGTCCTTCGCAATGATCAAAACTGGCCTCAGATGTCCCTGTACTGCCTCATTTTCAGTGATAATCGTGAACTTACCCTCAGCTGCTTTCCTGACCCTGCTTACCACTGCGTCATGTCTTCTGGTCATCAGATCAGAGTATCTCATGCAGTGGTTGATGACGTGTGGCAGGGTCTCCCTTTCATAACCACATCTTCTGCAGCTTTTGTCACTGTTGCGTTGATTGTTAACTCCTTCCAATCAGCGGCAGTAGATTCAGCCGCTGATTGGAAGAATTCATTTGGGTTAGTATGAGTGAGGTAAGCAATTTCTGCCTGTGTTTGTCGTGCAGGGTTTTACCATCGAAGGTCAATGAGTTTTCGAATGCCCACTCCACTTCTTTTCTCGCATTCGTCCATGCACTCGAGATGGCGTTGGTGTTTCGCCTTAAATCGCCCTCATTCTCCCCGGATAAAAATCCGGCTAGGTCCAGCTGATCTACCGGGCGTCCCAGTAATGAGAGGTGGTCAAAACAAACTCCACTCCCCTTCCTCTCATTCTTAAAAATACAGAAGCAATGTTACTGTCTGTCCTGCAAACTTGTGCAATCATTCTGGTACCTTCTCTATTACTGTAATGGTCTCTGCCTACTACATCAAAATATAATGTAACTTTATACTACACACACCAGTCACCAGGCCTCGTGAATAAATAAACTCTTACTTGATAACTGTGACTTCAAAAAAATTACTGTTACAAGTCACAGAACTCTTGAAAGAATGTTTTCCTCATGGGTAGTCCGTCAACTGGCTGTTCCAATAGATATGCACCCACCCCAAATCGTTTGTACAGAAAGAACTTAAGCAGAATGTATAACTGTAACATGGAACACTATTTCTGTAATAAATTCTTACGAAAATGACACTCCAAACCGTTATCGCTGCAAAGAATAATATAATTGCTATTTCATTCTTTTTTTAAAAAGAAGAACAGTGATACGAAATGACACCTGATGAGGGAGGGTTAGGAAGCGGCAAGAGACCTTCCCCTTACGCGACTTTGATTACGTCGCCTCTCCACTTACCTGGAACTCAGCATAAGCCCACCTTTGTTGACACAAGCTGTCTGGCGTTTCCGCTGCGGGCACAGCTGGTACTTCCGCCCGATCTGCCACGGCACAGGCGAGTCACCAGCCTCGTGATCTGGAATCGAACCGGCAACCCTAGGAACTTGTCACATTTACCGTCTCTTAGATTTCTGATCTCTTGCTCTCTGATTTTAAATATCGACTCCCTGGTGCGAACGAAGCCGAAGGGCATTGTAGAAGTCAATCCCGGAAGCAAATGATTACCTTTTCATGTTCTTCAGCGGATGCATTTCATCTATTTTCAAATGACACAGAAAAACTGATTATTGCAGGTTTGTTATTGTCTTTGGCATTGACTAGTTCTGACTTCAAAGTTTTGTCTTGCTTCCTTCTTTCTTACTGGCGGACCCAGCATACAAACTACTCTTATATTTTCCGGTAATTAATTACCTCACATTATCTCATACAGTGGTTAATTACGAGTTATTTTATACACGGCTTTATTACATGCACACGTAATTACTATACGTCCCATCTGCAATTAGCGGAAAAGAGATTCCCCGCAAAGTACAGCAATAGTACTTCGAGAATTATCACAAATCGTTGATAATCGATAATGACAGATAAACATAAAGCTAATAGTGAGTAGTTTAAGGTAAGCCGATCCCGGAGGTACTGCAATACCGGGCCAACCCGTGACAGAGGTGGAGCAAGCTCCTAGCACTCCGTCATTTTCCAAAAATCAGTTTAATATTCTGGTCCTGCGATGCAGGACGTATCAGATATTAAGCTGATAAGAACAGATTAACTTTATTTAGAGAATGCTTAAAAGAAATACAATAATCGGTAATATAAAACATCAATTAGGTGGTACATATCTCCACCTCTTAACACTCTACACAGTTTTTAGACTCTCATAATTGTCACACATACATTGATGCGGTCATTGGTTCATGGACATATGTCGAAACACCCAATATGTCACTGACATAGTAAGTCTTGGTAAAACACAAAGGGGGGCGGGGTTACCGCTCCCCGCCAGAGAAGTGCACAGGTTCATAAACACTTACAGTTTGGAGCACACAATATGTCACTGG